TTATTGATATTGTTGTTGTTTAATTTTTGTCATTATTATCATAATAAATGTCCTTATCATCATTATCAATAAAGAATTTTGTTGTCAATGACACCGTCACCATGACACTATGATGAGAATAATCATTGAAATTATTATCACTATCGCCATCACCATTTTCCTACCGCTTGTTAATATTCTCATCGTGAGCATCTAGTCATCATGATTATCATTATTATTATCATCACTATAATTATCAGGATCAGAATCGTTATCATTGTTACTGTTACCATTATCATCATTGCCATCGACTTTATCATTACTGTAATTACGATAATTTATCATTTTTGTAACTTTTGTCATTATTACTATCGTCATTAACATTATCTTCTTTAGAACCCTTACTATCATTATTATATTATTATCAGAATTATATTCATTATCATCACTATCATTATTACCATACTATTACTATTCTTATCATTTTTATTATCACCGTTATGAGACCTGTTACCATAATCACCTTTATCACTGACACTATTGTTATTATCATTATTCTTACTATCTCTATTATCATTAACATAATCATTATTGTCATCATTTTAATTACAATATAATCATTATCGCATTCATTATCATTTTCAGTATTACCGTCATCATCCTTATTATCATTATCATTATTTTATTACTATTATTATCATCATCATCATCATGAATATTATCATAATTAATATTGCCATCAATATAATTGTCCTTATTATTGTTGTTTTTATCTTTATTGCTATCATCATCACTATCTCTCTCTTCTCACAACCACAACACACACCACACACACACACACACACACACACACACACACACACACACACACACACACACACATATAGATATATAGATAGATAGATAGATAGATAGATAGATAGATAGATAGATAGATAGATAGATAGATAGATAGATAGATAGATGGATAGATGATAGATAGATAGATAGATAGAGATAGATAGATAGATAGATAGATAGATAGATAGATAGATAGATAGATAGATAGATAGATAGATAGACAGATAGATAGATAGATGTAAGCATATGCACTCAGACACATATTCCTGTTCTCTCCTTCCGGGTCAAGCAAGGCGCCGAGAGGTGCTGCCACCATGAATTTACGAAAATTGGCAGTTGCTCAGGAAACGCACACACGCGGACACGCAAATATGATGAAGGAGGGCGTGATGCACACACACACACACACACACACACACACACACACACACACACACACACACACACACACACACACACACACACACTCTCTCTCTCTCTCTCTCTCTCTCTCTCTCTCTCTCTCTCTCTCTCTCTCTCTCTCTCTCTCTCTCTCTCTCTCTCTCTCTCTCTCTCTTCTCTCTCTCTCTCTCTTTCTCTCTTCTCTCTCTCTCTCTCTCTCTCTCTCGCACGCACACAAAATATGATGATGCTAAAGGTGAATAAATCTACTGATAATACTTAAGAAAGCAAACAATAATGGCGATACTGACGATAACACATCTATGACTCGTAATGACAATATTTGAGATGCTGAAAGTAAGAAACAAGATAATGATTACTTTTCTACTATCAGTACTAGCCGACTCAGATGAGTGATTTCAATCACAAAATAGCGTCAAAATTGGAGCGGAAAGGAACAGGTCCTACCTCATCCGCAACTTTATATATATATATATATATATATATATATATAATATATATATATATATATATATATATATATATATATATATATATATATATATATATATATATATATAATGATGTGTATATGCATATATATATATATATATATATATATATATATATATATCCATATACATATGTATATATATATATATATATATATATATATATATGGGAAATATATATGTACATGCATATGTATACATATGTATCATTTATATATATGTGTGTGTGTGTGTGTCTGAATGTGTGCATGTGTATACGTTCTTTGTGTGAGAGTGTGTTTTTTGTGTCTGTGATTGTGTGCACGCATGCCCGTGTGTGTGTGTGTGCCTGCATGTATGTGTGTACTGTACGTTTGTGCGTGCATGTGTTTCGAAGAACAGGCCTGTATGTCTGTGTGCGTGCATGTAGATATGCATGTGTATGTGTGCGTGTGCGTGTGCTTGCGTACGTGTTCGAGCCTGCCTGCCCTTGTGCATCACGCCCTCCTTCATCATATCTGCGTGTCCGCGTGTGTGCGTTTCCTGAGCAACTGCCAATTTTCGTAATTTCATGGTGGCAGCACCTCTCGGCGCCTTGCTTGACCCGGGAAAGAGGAGGAACAGGACTATGTATACTATGTGCACACACACACAAATACATATAAGAGAGAGGAGCGATATGCATATATATTTATACATATATATGAATGTATGTGTGTGTGTGTGTTGTATATATGTTGTGTGTGTGTGTGTATATTTCTTTTTTTTTTTTTTTTTGCTAAATACGTCATACTAAGGGGATTAAAATTATACGAAATAAAAGGAATAAAAAATACTGTATTAGAAAAGAATAAAATATGCAAATTTAAGAGTAAACGAAATCTTGGAAAAATTAAGTTAAGAGGCAAACGTTTGAGCAATAATCACTCTTCTTCTTCGTATTTTTATTATTCTGATCAAATCAATTACTTCACAAAGTCTCTCAGAGTGTCTTCGGCCGGAGATTCTATTTTGCCTGAGAATGACAGGATATCTAGGACTCTCGAAGAAGTTGTTGAAGTGGGAGAGAGCGGGGGGGGGGGGAGTCTTCTTCTTCGTCTTCTCCTCTTTCGACTTAGCCTTCTTCTTCTTCTTCTTCGTCTTTTTCTTCTTCTTCGACTTGGTCTTCTTCTTCTGTTGTTTCTTATTCTACTACTACTAATTCTTCACCTTCTTTCTTTTCTTCCTCTTCTCCGTCTTGTTCTTTTTTTTCGACTTCGTCTTCTTCTTCGACTTAGTCTTCTTCTGTTGCTGTAGTTTCTCATTCTTTCTTTTCTTGTTATCTTCTCTGCCGATTTTCTAAAAATTCGAGCGATTTTGGCACTTATATCCCCGCCTGCACCCGGGACCAAATTCCCCTCCGCTGCAGGACCTCCTCGACGCAGCGATCGAGGTGGGCGTCGCGAACAGCAGAAGGAGTTCGCACAGACGCCGTGGAGGGTCTGGGCGCCGTCTGCCTACACCGCTGCGACGCCCCTCTCGACGGCGATCCCTCCGCCCCCACCGCCCGCACCCACTCGAGCGCAACGCTTCGCACGCCCATAAATCATTCTTAATACAGCAGTTGCTCATGCGAGGTCCGCCTGCCCGCACGTCCGCCAGCTTCTGCAAGCGGACAAGCAGGAGGAGGTGGTGGGGGCGGCGGTATTAATGGGCGTGTTGTGAAGGCCGGTCATTATCGTGGGTGTGGGCGCGCGCACGGGCATAGATGGAAGGGAGAGGTGGGGGGGAGGGTGGGGGTGCTGGGAGGGAAGTAGGGAGGAGGAGGGAGAGGAGGGAAGCAGGGGTGGAGGAGCAAGTGGGTCAGGAGATGGGAGGGATGGGGGGGAGGAGGGACGGAGGAAGGAGGGGTAGACGGGTAGGTTGAACGGAGAGAGAGAGGGAGGGGGTGGAAGGAGGGAATGAAAGATGGTCGGGGAGGGGGCATGGAGGGAAGGAGGGGCGGCGGGCAGGTGGGCAGGTGGGCAGGCTTTTGGCACACGGGAAAGAATTGCTCCGTGCGGGCAATATGGCGGCGGTGAAGGGCGCGCCGCCGGGAGGAATGCGGCGGGGGCGGAGGGGTAGGCGGGGGGGGGGGGAGCTTTCACGCGAGACTGCAAAGGAAACGAAGAATATTTGAGAATATTTCCCATTTTATTTCATTTCCCTTATTCTTGACACCTATATAGGATTTATCTTTTTATGTCGGAGGAACAGTTTAGTAAAGTCAGGCAGACTACAGTACAAAAAAGTATAATTTCAGATACGCTGAAAAAAAACATGTATTCTTATGGTAAACCTTCCTCTCCGTTCCACCCCCCCCCCCCTCAATCCTTCTCCCCTTTTTAGCCCCTTTTCTGGCCTGTTATCATCATCATTCTCAACATCACTTATCACGTCACTTCTCTTTTTATCTGTTTAGCATCAATGCAGTTCGAAAGGTCATGATCCCTCACAACTCTCTATCTCTCTCTGTCTATCTCTCTCTGTCTCTCTCTCTCTCTCTCTCCTCTCTTCTCTCTCTCTCTCTCTCTCTCTCTCTCTCTCTCTCTCTCTCCTCTTCTCTCTCTCTCCTCTCTTCTCTCTCTCCTTCTCCCTCCTTCTCTCTCTCTCTCTTCTCTCTTCTCTTCTCATTCTCTTTCTCTCTTCTCTCTCTCTCTCCTTCTCCTCATTCCATCACTTACTGCTTATATTTTGTTCCGGTGGTCTTAACATGAACATGAGTGTCGGTTTCCTTGTCTCGAAAGCAGTTAACTCTCGCGCTCATACACACGCGCCTTTCCTTCCATCATTAGGATCTGAGACATATGAAGAGAGAGCAGCTATTTCGAGGCTCTGCTTGCGTCCGACCGGAGTGAGATCTGGTCTCTCGAGGATGAGGATAATCCTAGCTGCGTTTAACAGACACTCCAAGTTTCAGAGGGATGTTTTAACCCGCAGCCGCTTCCCGATTAGAATAACTGCGGCGGTGTGTCCTGTGCAACGAGAGAGCAAGGAAACATAGAGCTTATCTCCTATAAGACTTTTCCCGAAGAAGGTGACGATGCCATAGTCAAGTTGCGGCGGGAATAAGGCGTCCAGATACACTTTCGCTCTCGGAGGCTCAGCTCAAGGTCGAGAAGAGAAGGTCAGGCTTCCCCTTGAATATCGCGTTACAGAGAGACATTTTCGGGAATGGTTGCCGTCAACATCGACCCAATGAAACCTGACGACCCGTGCGCAAGGTGACTTCCGTGCTCAGTACGTCGCCAAGAAGCACCATGTTGGCGTTAGGCCCTCCGAGAGCAGAGCATGTATCCTAGCATTAAGAAGGCACAAACTGCCGTCGCCGAGCTTGGGTGGTTGGCCGGGTTTCGCGACGGGTTCCTGATGCCCGAGTGCCCCGTCCAGGAGACCTACTCGTCTCAAGCTCTGTTGGTCACCGATCCCTATTATTCCAATCCGGAGTAGGCTTTTGATATCTGAAAAAAAAACAATGGAAAGACAGATCTGTAAGTGAGAATCCCTATACCGCAGACGTGGCTCGCCCCCAGACCCCACTCCGGACAGCGGCCACGTCTCGCAAGCGAACGACCGCACCGCGATCAGTGACGATAGGAAGCGCAGTGTCGGGACACGTCGGAGCTCAACCGAACACGACCTGTCTCGCTGTAATGGGCGTTTTACTGCCTTTGTTGCCACGCTGGTTCGGACGCTCGTTGGTTGGTCGGGTGAGGCGAGGTCGTGAGTGAGAGAGAAAAGTGAAAGAGAGAGACAGAGAGAAGAGAGACAGAGAGAGAGAGAGACAGACAACAGAGAGAGAGAGAGACAAGAGACAGAGAGAGACAGACAGAAGAAGAAAGAGAGAGAGAGATAAATAGCGTTATTTGTCTTCATAAGATAGAGACGTGGAGACAGGATAGGTCAAAACTGATGTTAGAAACAGTGACAATCATCACGATGATAGTGATAATGTTGATACCGAGCGTGATAATGATAGTGATAACAATAAAAGGAAAATCGGCAAATAATCTTCCTCTTTATAAATCTCTTCTCCTCTTAAAATTGATAACAATGATAGCACTAGAAATAATGGTGGTGATATTTCTCCACCATACACTAACTATTAAATTCCTACAGGAGAATATGTAATGTTTTCTCTCTTGTTTATGTTACTTTAATTGAATAGTAAATAAAAAATAATAATCTTTAGGCTTGAAGCACGTGTTCCTGTTGTACGTTACCATTACAACAACACAGATTAATATATATATTTTTTTAATGTTATTTTTTTCTAGTTCTCCTTTTCCATTCCTTTTCCTTTCCCTTTCCATTGTTTCTTCGCCATTTTCCCTCTTCTACTTCTTTATTCTTTTTTTTCAATTTTATTTTTATTTTTTCCCTTTTTTCATATTCTTTTTTCTTAAATCTTCCTCTTCTCTCTTTGCTTCTTGCTCCTCCTCCCTCTATTCTTATTCTTATTCCTTATTCCTTCCTTTCTTATTTTTGTTATTCTTTTTCCTATTCTTATTCTTATTATATTTGCCATTCTTATTCATATTCTTATTTTCATTATTTTTGTTATTCTTATTCCTATTCTTATTCTTATTATTTTTGTTATTCTTATTCCCATTCTTATTCTTATTATTTTTGCTATTCTTATTCCTATTTCTTATTCTTATCCATTTCCTAATTCTTATTCTTATTCATATCCTAATTCTCATTCTTATTCATATCCTAATTCTTATTCTTATCCATTTCCTAATTCTTATTCTTACCCATATCCTAATTCTCATTTTTTATTCATATCCTAATTCTTATTCTTATTCTTCATTCCTCTTCTTCTTTTTTTCTTTTTCATAATTTCTTCATCTTCTCTTCTGCATGGAAACGGGAACCTTAGCGGAGCAAAAGGATTCGTCACACGCGAATCGAACGAAAAATGTGGAATAGGAAGACGACGAAAGAGGTGAGAAAGGGAGAGAAAAGATGAGAGAAATAGAGGGATTGGAAGGAAAATGAAGTGGGTGTATTTTTTTTTTGTATATATGTATGCCTTATTGAGAGATGTTTATGAAACTTTTTTTTTGTCTTTATCGTTCTAACTCTCTCGCATTCTCTCTCTCTCTCTCTCTCTCTCTCTCTCTCTCTCTCTCTCTCTCTCTCTCTCTCTCTCTCTCTTCTCTCCTCCTCTCTCCTCTCTCTCGCTTTCTAACTTTCTGTCTCTCTGTCTCTGTATCTCTCTCTCTCTCATAAGACACACGAATCGAAACGAAAAATGTGGAATAGGAAGACGACGAAATGAGAAAGGAGAGAAAAGATAAGAAATAGAGGATTAAGAAGGGAAATTGATGTTTCTTTTTTATAAGCCTATTGATGAGATGTTATGAAAACTTTCTTTTTTTTTCTCTTTTCTAATCTCTCTCTCTCTCTCCATCTAAACTTTCTGTTCTCTCTCGCCTCTCACTCACTCTCTCACTATTCAAATCGGCGTAGACGTGCATTTGCCCCCCGTGCCCCTCTCTCTCCGTTTCTCTCTCTCTTTCTCTCTCCTTTCTCTCTTTCTGTATCTCTCTCTCTGACGTGACTGCTATTCGACGATCTCTCTTGCGTCTCTCTCCTCTGACGATCTCTGTAGACTTGCGAGACGTCCTGATCTCTCTCTCTCTCTCTCTCGATCGTCTCTCTCGTCGCTCTCTCTCGTCTCTCGTCTCTTCTCTCTCTCTGCTTTCTTGCTCCTGTCGCTCCTCTTTTCTCTCTTTCTCTCTCTCTCTCTCTGACTCTCTCGCCTTCGCCTCCCTCCCTCTTCTTCTCGAGCTCTCTCTTCTCGATCTCCGATCCTCTCTCTGACGATCTCTACATCGCTCGTCTCGATGCTCTCTCTCTCCTCTCTCTCTCTCTCTCTCTCTCTCTTCTCTCCTCGATACGTGGGGTCTCGCTCACTCTCTCGGCTGATTTTATCATTCTATCATTTTCGAGAACCGTGATAGAATCAGACACTTGACCATGTCCAGATCTTTGTGTTGGAGATTCGTGACAGACTTTTTCGACACTGTATTTCTGAATAAGATGATGCACCAATGCGGGTGAATGAGACGAGAAGGGAGGCTGGATCACGAATCACTGTCTTCTATCACTTGCGAAACAATATGAAGATGCAGATATAATTGAAAATGAAAATGACATTATGTAGATTCCCATAATAACCATTTCGATAAGCGCAACTGGATACTTTTCGTTTAAAAGAAATCATATCGAATGAGGTGTACTCCTAAATGTACCATTTCTATTGCTTTTATTCCATGTATCTTCTGTTCGGGAATCAAGGGCCAATTCGGTACTATTAAGAGAATCTCCTCTCAGAGAGATTAGTTCTGGGCCGAGTCATGACTGTGCATGTTATGTAGTGGCGTGGTAGAAAATGTTGTGTTGTTTGTAGTTGTGTGGGTTGGGTGGTGTTGATGTGACTGGTCTGTGTTTGTGTGTGCGTCGTGGTTATGCGTTGGGTGTGGTGGGTGCTGTGTGTTGTGGTTTATTATTGGGGTGTCTGGTGGTCTTGTGTCTGTGTGTGTGCGTTTTGTGTATGTTGTACATAATACAGAAGAAAAGAGAACGTATCGAGGGCGGAAGGAAGATAAGAAATAAAACTAAGTTATGGCTACTGTATTCCTGGGTTTTTTATGAGAAACTCTATGGGCGATCCTGTGCCATCTGGGTTCCGTGAGGCTTTAGCACAGGGAACAAAATACTAATAATAAATAAAATAAGCCAATCAAAATAAACAATTGATNTACCCGCTACCCCCTCCCTGCCCTCCCCCCCATTTTCCAAGCCCGTGTGACCGCGTATCGACCCGAAGTAACGCAGTAACGCACCGACAGCATGAGAGGAGAGACGTGTCGCTCCGAGCTCCCAGTCACGTGTTATACCTGTGTTCTCGACCGTGTTCTTCCCCGTGTTCTCCGCCGTGTTCTTTCCCCAGAGAGAGGAACGACAGACCCTGCGTGCGAAGATGACGAAGGAAGGAGGATGAGATAACCGTAAGAAAGTGAGGGAAGGGGAAGGAAGACAGAAAAGTGTTGAAGGGGCTAGAGTATTTTCTTTCAGTGTTGTGAAAATCCTTTTTTTTTCTTCTGTCTCTCGGTAAAAGGGGGAGAGAGAGAGAGAGAGAGAGAGAGAGAGAGAGAGAGAGAGAGAGAGAGAGAGAGAGAGAGAGAGAGAGAGAGAGAGAGAGAGAGAGAGAGAGAGAGAGAGAGAGAGAGAGAGGGTGACAAAAATGCGGTGTGAATTTTGGTTCAATGTGTGAGGATCTATTGGTCATACCTTTTACATTTACCTGTGTTTGTCTCCTTTTTAAGACATGCTCTCTCTCTCTCTCTCTCTCTCTCTCTCTCTCTCTCTCTCTCTCTCTCTCTCTCTCTCTCTCTCTCTCTCTCTCTCTCTCTCTCTCTCTCTCTCTCTCTCTCTCTCTCTCTCTCATCTAATCTATTTATCTTTCTAAGTATCTGTCTATTTGTCTGTCTGTCTATCTACCTATCTATCTATGTATCTATCTATGTATCTACCCATACATCTATTTATCAATCTAACCATTTCTATCTATCTATCCCTATATCTACCTATCTATCCATCTATCTATATATCAGTCTATCTATCTATTTCTCTCTCTCTCTTTCTCTCTTCGTCCCTCTCACCCATCCTTCTATTCCTCCTCTCTACCTCTCCCTCCATTCTCCCCTCTGCTCTTTCTCTCTCTCTCTCTCTCTCTCTCTCTCTCTCTCTCTCTCTCTCTCTCTCTCTCTCTCTCTCTCTCTCTCTCTCTCTCTCTCTCTCTCTCTCTTCTCTCTTCTCTCTCTCTCTCTTTCATTTCGACAGTCCAAAAACGTAAATATAAGCGTTCAAATATAGCCCGATGGATTGTCGATAGAATGCGCTTTAGCTAGAGCGATTGGAATGTCGCATCGCTCCGCCAATTGAACGCGGCCATGCACTGTGCACAGAGGGGCTGGCGCGGTTCGGTGTGGGTTTTCTGGCCGCGTTCATTCGAGACGAGGGGCTCTGTTTCTTTGTTTCTTTGTCTGTCTGTCTGTCTGGCTACATGCATGTTTGTTTGTCTGTCTGTCTGTCTGTCTGTGTCTCTGTTTCTGTCTCTGTCCTTTTTTTACTTTCTCTTTTTTCTGTCTGTCTGTCTGTCCTGTCTGCCTCTGTCTCTCTCTCTCTCTCTCTCTCTCTCTCTCTCTCTCTCTCTCTCTCTCTCTCTCTCTCTCTCTCTCTCTCTCTCTCTCTCTCTCTCTCTCTCTCTCTCTCTCTCTCTCTCTCTCTCTCTCTCTCTCTCTCTCATTGAATGCCACGGTGAGTTGTCAATAAGTACTTTTTCAAATGAATTTCTCCCCAAAAAAACACAACCTATATATTTTTCCGTCTTCATATATACTGTCAATATTACAATCTATATATCAGTCAATAAACCATTATTTTTCATCAAACGCCGAAAATACCGCAGCGCAAAATTAATACTTAAATGTAATGATAAAAAAGCTAATCGGAAACTTTTACACGCACGCGAACGCACGCACGAACACACACACGCACACACACACACACACACACACACACACACACACACACACACACACACACACACACACACACACACACACACACACACACACACACACACACACACACGCACACACCTGCCCGAATTTCGATGGAATAAATTTTGTGGACTGTATCCCCTATTT